CCCACCCCCACCCCCCTCACGAGCCCAGGTGGGCGGGCGCACCTCGTTGTTGTGGAGGGTCAGACAGAGCTTGCACTCGTAGGAGCCCAGGTGGTTCTTCATGAAGTAGGGGTCCTGGGGGGACAGACACCTGGTTAGACACGGAAGGGCGTAGCCTCGCCCGCCTCTGGATGCCGGAGCACTTCTGAGAACACAGGACTAGGTGGTTAGCTCCGTGGGGGGACAGGAAGCCCCTGTGAGTGGGCGTGGACACTAGGGAATGCAGAGGCCGAGGCTGTGGGGCCCAGACCACGCCCCGAGCAGCAAGGTCTCCAGGGGCCCAAGTCACGCTCCTGCCCTTACATCAGAGGCAGGCAGGGCCAGGACCACACTGTGTGCTGGCCACTCCCAAGGCAAGCCTTCAGGTCAGACACCGGCAGAAGAAAAAGCACGCGGGTTTACCAGCAGCCCTGAGACCCTCGACTTGCTGGCTCTGAACCTGGCAGGGGCTTTGATCTCAGGCGCCAGGCAGGTCGGGGCTGGGGTCCCAACTCCATCACCTGGGCGGTGCCATCCCCCAGCCACGTCCTCACTGAGGAGACCGGGCCGGGGAGCAGTTGGGGCCTGTGGAGACGCACATATGGTGCCGGGGGCCTCCGCTGGCGACCCTGCCCCCAAGGGCCCTGGGCGATGTCTGGGGGCATCCGTGGTTGGCGGGACTAGTGCTCCTGGCACGTGGTGGGTGGCGGCTGGACTGCCCTGTGTCCACAGTGGCCAGGGAGGCCCTGGCAACCCCTCTGCACAAGCCAATGTCCAACAACCCTTCGCTGCTCCGGGCTGAACTGGTAACAGCCTTACGTGCCCCAAAAGACAAACGATGCCAAACAAAAAGCCCGCACACAGGTGGACAGTGCAGAGGGCCCAGTCTCTGGGGGCCAGGCGGGTGCTGGGGCTAGAGGTCCGCACGTGACAGAGGGCAGATCTCCGTGGAGCCCCAAAGCCGCCCGTGCCAGGACCTGGCCCACCTTGTTGATGTCGATGGTCTCCAGGGCCAGCTGCCGCAGACGCTCCCTGCGGTCACGGTTGCTCTCGGAGGAGGAGGCCACGCCCCCGCTCCCGGTCTTGCCCCCTGGCCGATGCTGGAAGTCCATGGTGACGGCCCTGGGGCGTCAGTGGACTGAGAAGAAGCCTGCAGAGGCAGAAAGGAGAGTGAGCGGGCACGGTGGTTCACACCGGTAACCCAGCACTTTGGGAGGCCGAGGCTGGAGGCCTGCTTGAGCCCAGGGGTTCAAGGCCAGCCTGGGCCAGCACAGTGAGGCCTCATCTCCACAAAGCAATGCAGTTTTGCAGTTAGCTGACGTGGTGGCACTCGTACTCCCAGCTGCTCAGAGATAGAAGCGGGAGGATCGCTTGAGGCCGCGCGGTCAAGGCTGAGGAGGCTGTGACCGCCCCAGTGCGGGATGCTATCTCTGCCGACGGGGCCCCCACCCCGTGGAGGCAGCATGCTTTGCCTCGTGTCCCCCCCACTGGACTGCACCCAGTGGGAGTGTCCCTGAGCCATCATCTGAGGTGGCCACTCCTGCACAGCCGGGCCAGACACTGAGCGACATGGGAAGGAGAGGCTGAGGGCAGCCCGTGCCTGCGAAGACCCTGCCCGGGGGGAGCAGCGCCCCAAACTGCCCTCAGTGCAGGAGGCGCGGTGACTGCTGGGGCCAGGATGGGCCGAGCAGCGCAGATGCCACACCCCACCAAGGGTCGCTGTCTACGCCGGCTTCCTGCCACATTTAGAGAGATCTCCAGAACGCTCTGCTGACCCAGGGGCTGGGAAGACCCGGAGCACCTGACGCGGGGCCAAGGCTAGCAGAGCCTGGTTGCGTCTCAGGGCCCGTCAGACCCTGAGGCTGGCAGCTGGCGCAGACGTAGGCTCCAGGAGCCACGGGGAGGAACCCGGCCCGAACACACTTCACCAATCTCCGCCCTCCCTGCAGACCTCTAGCCCATGGACACCAGAGACCGTCCAGAGCACCCTGCAGTCCCCCCAGCTGAGCCGAGCAGCACACCCCAGGGAGGCCACGCCGCGGGTCAGAACGCCTCTCAGGAGCAAAGGAACTAAAGGGCCTCGGGGATCGCATGGGGCATGGGTCAGGCCGGAGGGGCCGGGGCCTGTTAGGGAGCTCAGGAGTCTTCACTGGGAAAACGGCCCCAGAGGAAGAATTCTCAGGGGCAAAGAGAGAACACCCGGTGCTGGCCAGGCCCCCAGCAGCGTGCATCCTGGGTGAGCAGCACGGCGGCTGCCAGCTCGTTGTGGACATCACACATGGTCCCGGGTACGGAGATGCTCAAGGGAAAGCCAGGAAGAGACAGTCAGGGGCCGGGTGCAGAGGCTCACACCTATAATCCCAGCGCTTGGGGAGGCTGAAGCGGAAGGACTGCCTGAGCCCAGAAGGGTGAGACCAGCCTGGGCAACATAGCAAGACCTCGTTTCTACACAAAACCAAAACATCAGCTAGGCGTGGTGGCGCCTGTAGTACCAGCAGGTCGAGGCAGCGGCGAGCCGTGATTGTGCTGCTACACTCCGGCCTGGGAGGCAGAGTAAAACCCCAACTCAAAAAAAAAAAAAAGTCGCCGTTAAGATCCTCCTCCAAGCCAGGCTCGGTGGCTCAGCCTGTAATCCCGCGCTTTGGGAGGCCGAGGTGAGTGGA